CATTTAAGCCCTCCCTCATTTTTACACTCACAGAATTACAATCAAACATCGACTTAACCAAGGTAAGTCTCGTTTAATTTTAAATTATAAGATAACTGTATAAGCTAAAGATTTTAACCAAATATTGAAGAATAATTTACGCACCTACCATTTGCTACTTTTTCAAATGCACTAAAGATTTTAACAATACATTGCATATACTTTTTTAATTATTGAGAAACAGTTTTGTTTCAGAACTTTTTTGTATATTGTGTTGCATGCAATTTCATTTAATAATTTTTAACGTAAAGAAAGTTTTTTTTATTAAACAATGATGTAGATCGATTTTTTAAAAAACTTTTGTGAAGAATCTCTTCACATATCAATTTATATGTTTGTGCAATTTGATCACAGGCATTTTTGGAGTATGTTCAGCCACGTCTGGACAAGTGCAAGTACGAAAAAATCAAAAGTGAAACTGCAGAAGAAGGAGAGCTGAGAGTGGCTGCAGTGGCAGCTATATTGTACATCATTGTTTCTTTGGACATGCCGCAAGATGAAAAAGGAGACAAGGCTGAAAGTTTGAGCAGTAGCCTCTTTGAGGGATTATTTCTTCTACCAGAAAAAAATGGCAAATGCGAATCCTTTCAGAAATTGGTGGAGGTTCATTTTCCACAAGAAAAACAGAAGTATGTGATTATTTTAAGTACTAACTTTTGCGTATAGTAATTTGTAAAGTTATTTGGGAAGTTTTATGACTGTAGACAAAAATAGACATGAAGACACTACAGATATTCCTGTACACACAAATTGTTTGTAAGCTGTTGCTACCTGATGCATTTGTTTACCCCATAACTGTAAAAGCATATATTTGTTCCACTTAAAAGTACTCTGTATGGGATTTACCTGCCGCAGTGAATTTTCCCTTGGGAGTGGGGGTTTGGGGGAGTACCTGCTTCCTTATCTTTCTTAGTTTAGAGTCAATCGGTGCATTTAATTTCAATGGGAAAAGCAGGCAATAGATATCAAAACTGAAAACTGTCTTTAAATCTGGAACCCTAAAAATTAGAGGCCTCTTCTTTCTTGCATTTTGTAGAGCTTATCAATCACAACACTGATAGTTTACCATCTTTCGACAGAAAAAATTAGATGCCCGTCAATGTAAACTTGAATTCTGACCGTCATCCAGAAGACCGAGAAGACGGCCTCTATCCGCCCCTATAAAATAATGTTCAGTTACTACAGCTACTACAGCTGTCACCTGGTGGCAATTTGTGTGGGGTGTCCACCATGGCCTTATCCCACATCCAGGGCAGATTGTTAGCATGTGACACCAATGACAACTCAACATATTTATTGTAACCTTACCAATTTCAACCTTGGATTTTAGGGTACTCATAAAGGGTTTAGAAGGACTTATCAAACAGTTTGCTGGTGGAAATGTTAAAAACCCCAAATGGCTTCTTGCCATCCCACTGTATCATTTTTTATGTGGACACAGCAAGCCTTTTGCCAGAGTTGACATAAATGAAAAACACAACCATGACAGTGGGAAGTGGTGGGGAATTGAAAACATAAAAAAGGCCGTTGAGTCTTTCAAAAAGGCAATGGAATACAGCAGGTATTTATCATTAATCCTAATTTTGTGTAGTAGCAAATGATGGTGTTTAAGGTACAGCAATAAGTAAAACCTTCCAGAACCTTACAGTAATTAATAAAATGTTAAGAAACATAATGCTTGAAATATGTTTAAAATGGAGATGTTAGATTATTTTATTGAACTTATTTACATTTCACTCCAGTGAAATTTTAGCAGGAAGAGACTTTTGCTTCATTCTACATTTACCAGTAACCATAAATTGACAAGTGAGATTATATTTTATATTTTAAGACAAGGTACATCAATGATGGATAGATTGGTCCCTCTATTTAAAATGGACAAGCTGTTACCGAGGACATTTATGTGCACCATCAGCTTTAAGGATTTAAAAGAAGTCATATGTTCAAAGTCCATTCCACCAGAAGTGTCCATGGCAGTGTTGTATTACTACATACATGTGCAAAGCCATGAATGGCCATATTTGTTCAACAGTGATTTCAAAGTAAGACACAATTACTTTTTAAAGGTCTTTGTTGTCAGGTGACCCTGTTGCTATACTTTTGTACTGGACTAAGTGCTCTTCTGCTTTTTATTTACAAGCAACAAAGTTCGTTGCTAATATTACTGACCATGCTCACCTGTTTATTTGCATTCATTCAAAATTAATTATCTTACAGACACTTGTTTCTGCAGTGGATGCAATAAAGGAGCTGATAGAAAACCAGCTTGCTCCATCCAGTCAAGGAAGGTAATTTAATACTTCTTAATTTTTATACTTATTTTGTTATTTAATTATATTATTGAAAAAAAAAACATTAAAATGATTTATGATCATATACTATGTTTTAGATAATGTATCACTTTTTTATTTTATTTTTTGCAATGAAAATCCTTTTCCACCACTTATTTTAATTGTCATTGTTTTACTTTTGTATATTACTATTTTCAGTGACCACATAGAAGAAGTATGTGGGGATGCAAGAGAAATATCAATGGTGGCACATGACTTTTTTGAAGCATGTTCACTCAAAATGGATAGAGAGTTGTGGAGATTTGTTTGTTCAGCTGTTGATGTGTTTGTGACCGCAAGCAGAGTGCACCATACTTTTTTAGTCAAGTCTTTTGTTGGTGCAGAGAAAGAAAGAGAGTTTCAAGTAGAAAGCGACCGCATAGCTGCCACATTCAGTTCAGCATTAGAGTGTCTGAATGCCTGGTTATATCATTGTCTTCCTCCTGTCATGGGCAACTTGGGAACTTGGAGTTGTGTTGATGAGCTCAATGTAAGTAACTGGTAAAATGGCATACTTGTCTACAAGCAACAAAATTAGTGAACAACTAATTGGTAATGGACCACTTCAAAATAATCATACTCTGTACCGCTAATCACATTACAGGTTAGAATTACATAATCTGATGCCATTTATTTTCCTTCAGATTTGGTCAAAATTATTGTCACTGGAATGGCCCACAGATTGTACAGCCAAAGAGTGGCTGAGACGAGAGCTTGAAAGAAAAATTGATTCTGTAAGTATGTTCAGAAGGATACTTTTTAGTTAATGTTGTGAATTTTTTTTTTTTTTTTTTTTTTGCTTCTATCTATGCCAGTTATGATTGAAGCATACTTTGATGATGAATTATACTCCTTGAGCAATTAGTATTATCTTCATGGTATATCACATTTGAATGTTTTAGATTCGTCTTGGAAAGGCAAAGATAGACTTGTTTTGCAGCACAGACTCCAAAGAATACCACCATGTTGTTAAAGAATGCTTAAGTAAGGCAGCCTTTAAAGCCATCGAAACTGTAAGTATGAATTTCCCTTTTTATATGCAAACACGGATGTGTCATAGAATACAGGTCAAGAATATTTTACCATTTGTTTTCAAATTTACAGAACTGATAATTATTCATAACAACCTGATTTTTTCTCCAACTAATGGTTGTGAATGGTACATGTAGTCATAAATGCATATGTTCTATAATTTTCTAAACCCATAATAAGGCAGTAAGATTTACCTTGTGGTTGATCATAATGATAACTTGAGTACTCCTGACACTTGGTACACACCATTTTCCTCTCCTCCAGATAGTAAGTCCACCAGGGCCTACCTTCTTTCCAATTTTAGTAAACTTCTGATCAATCCATTTCTCTTCCTCACTTCATTTTCATTTTTGCCACGCTGTGCACCAACGAAGTATTTTAAGTTCAACAATGTCATTTTTCTAAACAAAAGTCTTAGCCATGAGTACTGTGCACAACCAATAATGAAGAAACAGAGGATCAAGTCTGTAAAAATGCCAAAAGCATGAGCACATGTGTTTTGGTCATTTTGTCATGGAAGGGTATCTTGAAAAGAGATGAGACTATGAATTACATCATGCAAGAATCTCCCAACCTCAGCCAGTCACAAAACAGTATTTGTGAGTGAAACTGAGGTTAATAAATTATGTATAATAAGCTGGGAACTCTCTCGATTTTCATCCCTTCTTGATCTCTCTTTTCGAATGAAGTAAAAAACATCATCCAGATAGGAAACGCAAACGTATTCTTTATATGGTAATGTGCCAAACAGTTCAACTAAGATTAATTAATTAATTTCAAAGAAACGTCATTTTGGTAGAATTGATTAAAATATATCAATAAAAACCTTAGAAAATGTCGGATTATTTGGGGCATATGCTAAAATGTCCATCTTACTCACAGGAGTGTTTAATCTTACTAATATACAGGTCGAGTTTGAAAATAAGCTTGATTGGTTCAGTTTTGATGCAGTTATGCCTTGTTTTGTTTAAAAGTGCTTTTACCTCAGATTCAATTCCTAGGGATGTTTACAGTCTCATTATTGAACTAATTGGATAAGTATAACTGTTCTTTTGACAAATTTTTCATCTTTACAATATTGTTAGTTGATTACATAAAAATGGTGTTAAACCTGTATTAATCTATTGTGTAATTAAGTGTCAATAATGGGAAAAAAAAGCAAATCATTGCAGTTTGTCAGATTTAATCATTTACTATGTTCAGAATCTCAGAATGGAGCAAATTGAACATTTAACATTGTTCTATTGATATTTTCTACATTTCAACAATTTTTTTAGTTGATCATTTAAAAAGTACAGTAAATTAATTGTTTAATGTAAAAAAAAGTGTTAAAATGGTAATAAACCCATTTCATTAGAGTGGTCTCTTATTTACATTTTTGGCATTTTCAGGGTGTGACTTTGCAGTTCTATGGGCCTGACCACCTTTGCCACTCACATTTTCTGATTATCCATGCTCTCTCTATATGTTATCATTAAAAATTGGTAGTCATTATGCTGTTTAGCATTACATAATATTGCATCAAAATTAAACAAGCCCTTTTTTAAGCACTGCCACCATAGTTACCATTTGGGAAAAATCATGTCACTTACTGTTCTCAAACTTTCAAGAAAGAAACATGGGCCAAAGATACAACTTCAATTGGCAATGCGGTCTGGTTAATTTTCCTGTAAGTTAAACAGTTTTTTTAAGAACATACAATTTTTTACATGCTGCCACTTTCAAGATGTACCTTTGAACCTCCATGGGCTTGAAGACCTTTGTCAGTCACATTTGCTGAATATCCATGCCACTAATATTGTATTATTATAAATTAATAGTCATTATGCTGTTAAGCATTATGTAATATTGCATCTGAATTGAAGAAAACCCAATTTTGGGCGCTGCTGCCATCATGTCCCTTATAAAAAACAATGTTACTTATGATTGTCAAACTTACAAAAAAGAAACACAGGACTGAAATGAAGCTTGAGTTTGAAAAGCAGTCTAATTGACTTCTTTTACTGCAACTTGTACATTTTAGTGAAACATTCTTTTTTTATCGTATTGGCTTATTCATTGTGGAAGTCATAACTCCAATGGGCATAAAGCTGAATGGCAATCAAATTTTCTACATGTCCTTGTTATTTAAAGTCGATAATTTAAATTGCTCATAAATATTCTGTATTTTATTATGTAATTTTACATCAGAATTGACACATCTTCTCTGTGCACTGCTACTGCGATTGATTTGAAAAGAAAACTGTTACTTATTATTTTAAACTTACAAGAATAATTTTAGGCTTAACATGCAGCTCAAATTAGAAGGCCAGCTGAGTCATTTATTATTGCATTAATGCAATTTCATGAATTTTCATTTTTTCTCATTCTGGCATTTTCAAAGTGTGCACTTGAACTCTCATGGGCCTGAAGCCTTATGGTTGTTACACATTTTACTTACATCGATAATACCTGTTGAGCTTAAATAAAATTTGATGTTGAATTTGCAGTTAAGCATAACGTACTTTTGCATCAGCATTGACAGTAGCACATGGTGTGCATTGTTATTTTCTGCTTTTTGTCTGTACATTTGACAGTTTTTCTGCCTTGTTTATTCTTCAAAATGCC